CATTATCCACCTTGTTCTCTGCAAACTTCGCTCCCCTCCTCGTTCAAATTAAACCAGATTTCCAGAGGTGGGGTAACCTACCTCTATCGCTGCTAGGCAGGATAAATGCTGTCAAAATGAATAGCTTACCAACATTTCTGTTATAGCAAGAATAGCAGGCTTTTTGGTGTGTCTGACGGAGTTGACAAAATCATTATATTATTTGAATAAATGTCAATTGTACTGAAAAGTCTTTAAATAAAAAACCTGTTCCCTTACATGGTTTGTTGGCTTATACCTTTATCTATCACTATATCAATTTCAAATTAGTGTTGTATTTAATTAAACTTTACCACGTGTTTTGTCCCTTATCTCAAGAATCAGTGACTTATAAAAAACAGCGACATAATTGTTATGTTGTTATTTGTTTGAAATAAGATACTGAGCTGCACTAAACTATATTTTAGCATTTAAAATACCTAGCCATTCTTTTGCGGTTATTTTTGTGAAAGTAATTCAAAAGTAATATAAAAGTAGTGTAACTCATTACATTTCAGAGACAGTAATATTGTAATGTAACTTATTACTTAAAAAAACCAGTAATAAGTAATATGTACTGCAGTGTTTCCCCTACCATTGTCTTGGTGGGGCGCTGCGCCCTGCCAACGGTGCCCCGCGCCCCGCCTGAAATTCAAGGTGTTTTTAAAAATTATTTTTGTTTTAAAAAAAAAAATTTAATAAAAAAAAAATATATATATAGCACCAAATTGCAACTGAAGTAATCTATCTCCGGTCACTTTTCACATTGAACATGTGCTCTTTTATTAAATAAACTAAACGCCTATGTTATTTATCCAATGTATGTGCATGTTTCAGTGTCCACTGCTTTGCATATTCACATTCTCCCTCCGCTCTGTTTCTGAAGGGCGGGGCTCCGCTCCCACACACACACACACACACACACACACACACACACACACACACACACACACACACACACACACACACACACACACACACACACACACACACACACACACACACACACACACACACACACACACACACACACACACACACACACACACACACACACACACACACACACACACACACACACACACACACACACACACACACACACACACACACACACACACACACGCATTATTGCCCCGAGCTCTGCTGTCTGCCCGTTTGTGTCCCCCCCCAGTTTCAAATTCGTTTAATATTATTTTTTAACCTCAAGCCGTTATTGATAAAAAAAAAGAAATTCAAATGTTTTTCTTCCGGGCACCCCCCCGTTAGGGGCAGCACCCTGCCAAGGCAGTAAACCTAGGGGAAACACTGTACTGTATTACATTTTGAAAGTAACTTGCCCAACACTGATCCTAAAGGACATCCGGAAAGGAAAAAGAAAATGTATTTGATGTTAGATGACCAGAGTAACCTATCAATAGCAAGATCTGACTTCTTTTACGAATGTGTCATTCATGGAAACGCTTCTCCTTATAAAATCAAGACATGCTCTGGCACAACAGAAACCACTGGGAGAAGAGCCAGTGGCTTTGTTGTCGAGTCAGTTAACGGAGGAGTGCCCTTGCTGCTGCCTACCCTTACTGAATACAACCTCATTCTTGGGAATAGGGACGATATTCCCACTCCGGAGGCTGCAAGCTACCATCCTCATCTGAAAATGGTGGCTGCTGAAATCCCACCACTCAACCCTTCAGCTGAAATCCTACTGTTGCTCGGTAGATACATTATTCATGTTCACAAAGTTTGCAGCCAGTGCAATGGGCCACACAATGCTCCCTTTGCCCAACGCCTTGACTTGGGTTGGGTTATCGTGGGCGACGTCTGCCTAAGGGTAGCTGAACAAGCCAACTTTGAACACTTTCAAGACCAACATCCTGGAAAACGGACGCCCCAGCATCTTCCGTCTATGCGAGAATAACATCTAGGTGAAAGAGAATTTCACAGGTCAACAACAAAGGCCTACACCTGAGAAGCTAGGCAGGCTTGTTATTCAGCCTTTCGGACGACGACTAAAAACTTGCACCTTCAGTTGAAGATGAGACCTTCTTCCTCATAATGGACAAAGAGTTCTCAAAGGATGGAAAGCCTCTTCCAAAAAAGAGTCCACTCAGCAAACATTGCCCCTTCATGGACTCACATGGTCTCCTACTCGTTGGTGGTCGTATGGAAAAAGCAAGAATAACCTCTGACAATTTTACCCAATACTTGTTCCTGCTAGACAACATGTTGCCACACTACTAATTAGACACTTTCACGAGCAAGTTCATCACCAAGTTAGGCACTTCACGGAAGGATCCGTGAGGGCAGCCATATTTTGGGTTGTTGGAGGAAAACGATCCATCAGCAGCGCTATCTACAAGTGTGTAACTTTCTGCAAGTTACATGGAGACAGGAGGAGCAGAAGATGGCTGATCTGCTGGCCGATCGCTTTAGCACAGACCCGCCCTTCACCTATGTAGGGCTCGACGTGTTTGGACCTTGGTCAGTGCACGAAGAACACATGGAGGTCAAGCCAACAGCAAGCGGTGGGCTGTCGTCTTTGTGTGCTTGAGCTCACGAGCAATACACATTGAGGTGCTGGAATGAATGCATTCTTCCAGCTTCATTAATGCCTTAAGACGCTTTCTTGCCATCAGTGGCCCTGTGAAGCAGTTCAGATCAGACTGCGGAATCATTTCTTGGGAGCCTGCAAAGAACTCCAAATTGACTCCAAAGGGTGCAACAACGATCGGATTGAGAACTACTTGACAGAGCAAGGTTGCACATGGCAGTTTAACCCTCCACATGCCTCACACATGGGCAGCAGCTGGGAACGAATGATTGGGGTCGTGTCCTAGATGCTATGCTGCTCAAGCGTGGCACTGCAAAACTGACGTATGAATTGCTGGTAACACTCATGGCAGAGGTCACAGCAATAGTCAACCCCAGGCCGTTAGCCTCAGTGTCTACAGACCCAGAGAACCCTCTCATTCTCACTCCAGCCACTCTCCTTACCGAAAAAGTCGGCACACATCCTTCACCTCCAGGTCAGTTTGACGAAAGTGACCTTTATAGGCGTCAGTGGTGACAGGTTCAGAGTTTGGTCAACACTTTCTGGGAACGGTGGAGATTAAATCAGCAATCTCCAAGGTCGACGCATATGGAGGAACGAAAAGCCTAACATGCAAGAGGGGGTTGTCGTCTTGCTACGGGACAACCAAGTTCAGAGGAACAGCTGGCCTGTTGGGCTAGTTACAAAGACCTTTACGGCGGTAAAACAAAGCTGTTTCTTAGACCTATCTCAGAGGTAGTCTTTCCGGCAGGGGTCAGTAGTGGCTTGGACTGGGAGCCGTAGGGTCGCCGGTTCAAGTCCCAGAACAGACTTAAAGTATGGAGTGGGGACTGCTACTTGGAGAGGTCCCAGTTCACCTCCTGCCCTGCCGTGGTGCCCTTGAGCAAGGCACCGGACAATCCCCCACCCCCCCACTCCAATTGCTCCCCGGGCGCTGTACAATAGCTGCCCACTGCTCCTCGTACTAGACTCCTGGTTCTAGGATGGGTTAAATGCCACCAAATGTCACTGTGTGTGCTGTGTTCTCTGCATGTGTGACCATTAAAGAGGGTCCAATTATATTATATTCTCACTGTGAAATAAGCTGCTACAGTGAATCCAACCGAACATTACTTTTTTTCAGGTCCTAGTTAGTCCTGACAACTTGCAGATGCCAGGCGGGGAGTGTTCTTTCTTTCTAATGAATGACATCTGTTTTGACTGCTATAGCCTTAGTGGCCTCTAGGGGCAGGCTAGTGTGTTCCGTTCGTGTTAGGTTTCAGTCCTGCCATTTTTTTTGAGAGCCACATGGAAAGTAGGCTCCTGACCCAATCTACCTCCATCTGTTCATTGTTGCCCTTGAGACAACATATTCTGTTGGGACATTTATTTGGGAATACATTTTGTATATTCTGCTACTTCTATTTTCGTATTTGATGTAACATTTGATGTATATTCAGCATATGTAGTTAAGCCATGTATATAATTGCTACATGAGTAATAATTATCCTTTTATTGGTCGTTGTGTGCATTTCATTCATTTATGGGGAGAAATACATTGTATTTTGTCGTTTCTAGACGTTTATACAGTCTTTGTTTGTATTTTTTCAGTTTCACACCACTTCTATTAAATAAACAAATGTCAGCTCCTGTCTTGGTTATTTTTTGGTAGAGTGTTTACCTCGCTGCTGTAAGAAATAAATCAATATATTTTGCCGGAACTTTAAATAATATGATATACTGTAGTAGTGTTTTCCCACGGACTGAATATGGGGGACACCACGGACTTCTGGAACAGGATGTTGTTTGTAGCATTAGCATGTAGCTAATAATGTTTTGTATGTGAATATAAGGAGAAATGACACGTGGTGTTGCACACTAAACACACTGTATTTAACCCTCACTTATTGACCCTGCAATACTATTATTAGGGAATGTTTAAATGACCAATAAACATTAGAAGATTGTAAAAACTAACAACAAGGAATTACGACAGACAGGATGTGCCTTGGACCCGCCCCCGTCGACTCTAAGCCAATGGGAGAAGACTTCAGATGATAAATATGTGACACAAGCAGGAAGTCGGTCTCTTTCTCATCCCATGCGTGTGGACAGAAGAGCATAGCTGTCGCCATTTGCAATTTCATTGTATCATCTTATCATTGTTTTATTAAACGCTATTAACTTGTAAATAAGCTTCCTGGACTCTTTTCAGCTAATCCTGGGCACAGAGCTAAAAAAAACTACACTGCACAGCCACATATCTACAGGTGTGGTGAGTGCAGAAGAACTACACATTCTAATTCTAATGTATAATTGTAATGTTATACAATAGACTTGTTTCCAATATATATAATGGCTTAAGGTTTCTTTCCTAGCACACAAACCAGTGAAGCAAGTTGGATGATGGAGTCCTTCAAGAGAGCTAAAGAGTGAACCTGCTCCGTCTCACCGTTGGAACAGGCTTTGCTCCCGTCACGATGCAGACCAGAGTGAAGTTCTGCGCCTCGTAGCGGCTGAAAGGAGCTGGGCTGTTGGCTGCCACCACAGATATAGACTTGGGAGGTACTGCAGATAAAACAAAAAGAAAAACTAAATAAACATACATTATAAGTTATTATGAGTATTCATCAAGTAATGAAGAAATCAGGGTTAGGTGAAGAGTCAGTGACGACTCTGAGCTGAGGAAGCTGCAGCAGCACTTCTACTGTGAACTTTAAAACGATTCTTCAATTCCTTAAACAGAGGAATGCACTTTCTTGTTGGGATTCGATGCTTAGATGGATATCTGCCACTTTCTGTACACTTTGATAGTTGGTTGGTTTGCCTGGTTTATCAGAGATACTGGTAGTTGGGGTTTGTCTATTGGTGTCTTTTTCAACCTTAGTGTGATACGTCCTAACAGAGATCCCCTCACAGCTGGTCTTATATACATTTTACATTTCTGTCTATGTACAGGTTCAACCTTCATGTTAACCGGGCCTCTTTCACACATAGTTCCTGGAAAATTGTTGGGATGAGATTTGTAGGTCCCACTAGAGATTTTCACAACAGCTACTCACATGCACTAAACTCACAAACACTTGCATCATTGCAGCTTTTGATTAGGGCTGTGCAAGTTAGCGCGTTATTATCGTGTTAAAACATTAATCAATTAACGCCGACAATTATTTGATAGCGCATTTGAGTAAAATGACCCGGAAGTACCTCAGTGGCAGCCATGATAAGAGCTGTTGGAATTCTCTAGACCATGGAGAAATGCTGTGACCCTGCTGAAGGGGAGCCAGGGCAGGAGGCTTAACATGTTGATGTAAAATATTTGTGTTGTACTCCTGTTTTCACTTTAGAGCCCTTTTAGAACTTATAGGGTTATCATTTCAGAGCCCCATTCTCCATTGCTGTGTATGTTGAAAATAAAACTAAACTTTTCATAACCACAATATTTTAACTGATTTAAATGCGGTATGAGGCATGGCTACAATGGGTGATCGGTTTGGTATTTTAAGCGAACAACTTCACAGACGTTTTGTATAGGTATGGCCCTACAATATATTTTTCCAATATAGCATAATAGGTCCACTTTAATTCATTTCGGAGCAGCTCTGGCAGGAAACACTGTCCAAACCGTTTTGGCTACGTAAAGTGAAGTTGTGTGTTGTCTTTGCTGGCTTTCGCTGCCGCGAGTTTTGGTCGAACAGTGATGATACTTATACCATTGGAATCTGTGGAATCGCAGCTTTCATATGCTATCTAGTTTGTGCAGATCCGATGAAGTATAAAATATTTTTACCGTGAGTTATGTGCTAAGTGCGTTAGCACTCTTTCGCTTAGTGCTAATTCAGAGGCTCGGCGTTAAACTTGTAGAGTTGGGTAATCACACTACAGTTACTAACATTGCCCCGACACGCGTTACTTCGTTACTTTTATAAAATCAGTCATAATCACACTGACAGACAAGAGGGGTTTCCGCCGCAGGTTTATATGTACGTAATCTGCGCGACTTGCCACATCTCCACGTGCAGTCAGCGATAACTTTCGAGGGCTGGAGGTATGCCCATTATTTTGAATTCGTCCGAAGAATAGACAGGAATGTGACGGTGAGGTGCAAACTGTGTCCAGGGGCCTCATTTATAACGCCTTGCGTAGGATTGACGTAGGAAGGTTGCTTACGTAGTACAAAGCACAAAAATAGGTACATAAATGTTCCGCCATTTTCCGATTCACAAAACATTGCGTACCGGCGAGGGAAGTGCGTACGGCACTTCCTACGCCTGTTTCCCTTTATAAATCACAATCGACTCGTAACGCCCATATTTGCCTATACATAGTCAAAGAAACGCCCATTCATTCATTCATTTTGACTGACTGCATGAAGAAGATCGCAGGAAATAACGATAGAACAGCTAAAAAAGACATCTCACACCGTGTCAAATTTTGGTTATTTTGGGGAGGTCGAGATAAATCATATTGTTTGGTGGATGCAGTTTGAACCAGAGTAGCAGCATGGAGGTCGGATCGTCACCAAAATAAATAAATAAGTGGTCCGAAAAAAGTTAATGACAAAAAAAATACACATAGCCTTCCTCAGGCAGTGTGTTTGTACCGGGGACAGGAGACACCCCCTTGATGAGAAACTGTAAGAAATGATCGGGGAATCCCTCCGGAGTGGAGTCATGACGACTGGATCTGAATTATTTTGTTGTATTTGGTGGTTTGTGTTCCAGCTGTCGATCAGCAACTATATATCCATAATCCACCAGTTAAAGGAAATACAACTAATGGGTTGTGTTATATTAGCTGTACAATTTACCACATATGGTGTTCTTAGTTTCCATACCTCCTGTGTTTTACGAGCGACTTATCAAGTCTTGGCAAACGGCATAAAACACGATTAAACGTGATAGTATATAAAACCATGCTCGTATCCACAACCTATAGAAATGCAAAACGGCGTCAGTTTATTCTGTCCTCCTGCTTACCGCATCATTTATGAGAAAACATTTCATAACATTAACACAACATATTCGAGGTGGTTTTAAATAGCATCCGTATTTATTTATTTCTCCAAGTTATGTTTTTGTGTGCACTGAGGAGTCTCAAACAGGCGTTTGTTTAATCATTTTAAGATTGGCTTTAATCAATGTTTGAAAATGAATTCTTCATATTTGATAAATGAGAGGTAACATTTTATTTATGGTATTATTTCCACATATTTCTCTCCATTCTTCCTTCTGCCAACGGTGTTGCAGTTTCTCGTCTCTCCCGTTTGTGTGCTTAGTGCGTACGCATGGGTTAGAGTTTGCGTGGAGGACAGCACATTTTCCCGTCAAGTTAGTATTTTATAAATCGCAAACATTGCGTAGAAACTGGCGTACGCCATTTTTTGAGCGTATATCCCTTTATAAATGAGGCCCCTGGCCAGAAGCTGTTATCCACTGCTGTAAACACCACATCAAACCTCAACAAACACCTGCAAAGAACACATGCTAAGCTGTCTTGCAAGCTTGTTGTGGTAGGCTGGTAGCCTATTTTATTAAAGAGCATATAAAAAGAAAGACTTGTGTTATGTCTTCCTTATTGCAATAGTAATTGGGGGTGCAAGTGGAGTCTCGCAGAGGCAAAACTGTGGCGCGCTTACACTGTAGGTGCGCCGCAGTCTGCGTGATCTGCCTGTAGGGAGGGGCGGGCCGGCCCTGCGAGTAAAGTAACGATTAAAGTAAGGAGTTACTTTATGTAGAGAGTAACGAAGTAGTGTAATATATTACTTTATTTTTTTTAAGTAATATGTAATATATTACTTTTATTTAGTAACGACCCCATCTCTGTAGACTTGTGTTTTGTTTCGGTAAAAATGGTTCATATCGTCAGGTAGCTGAGTTTCTTCCCGTTAAGTGGGTATGACACAACACCAAAGTACTCTGTTTTCCCAAGGATATGGTCTCTGACTTGGCTGAGAAGATCCTGCATATTGGGGCTGAACATCCGATCGTGAAAAATGTGGTACTGCACATTGGAACAAATGTTGTTGTGAAACAACAGTCAGAAATGCTGAAAGAAGACTTGTCTGTTGGAAACTGTCAGCTCTCTAAATGCGGAGGTGTTCATCAGTGGCCCTCTACTGCCATTCAGAAGAGGAGTGGAGAGATTCAGCAGACTGTTTGCATTGAACACGTGGCTTTCAACTGCCTGCACTGACCATTCTGTCCATTTTATTGACAATTTTAACTTTTTCTGGGACTGCAGACATTTTTTTAGAGCAGATGGAATTTGCCTGAACAAGTCAGGAGTTAAATTGTTTATCTCTAACATATTCAACTGCCTGCGTCATCAATCTGTTCCCTCTGCCAAGGACAAGCAACAAGAGGAATCAAAACAGGAGAAAGACACACAACGTGCAGAAAACCATGAAAAAGTATCACTGCACCCGCCTGAGGAATGTCTTGATTATGAGAGACCTATGAGACAAAAGGAGGAGTCTCCACCGCCCTTCGGCCCCCCTATCAACACCTTTGAGGATACTCTTCCTTCACCCCCCAGCTCTCTCTTCTCTCCGCTCATCCTTTCACCCTCGTCCCCCTCAGAGCTGTATAATAGGAGAGTTACGACATCTCCGTTCACTCCAATGGACCATTTTTTTACAGCAATGGCGTGGAGCCTCTCAATAGTTCCCCGGAAGTTAGCGGCTATTGTGAGGCTCCACGATCTGCGGCTAGCAGCGCAGTAGAGTTGCAGCATAATAGGCCGTTCGTGATGGACTTTTAAAGGTAAGAAGACGTTTAAAGATTTATATTGCAGATATTATCAGCACATCTGAGTCAAATGAACATGTGTATTAAAGGATGTTAGTGGATTATCCCTTAAATCATTAGATTTAGGGAACGTTTACAGATAACAGATTAGGCTAGGATACCGGATAAAGTTAGCAACACACGTTAACCATGAACAGCCTATTAATCCGTTCTCCTAATGTTATTTCGTCCAACATTGTGGAATTAGAGAAAAGGGGCTTCTTAACGTGCTTTTATCCGGGGTGGAGGGAGTTAAATATTAGTTAAATATAACATTGGGGCGTGTGATTGTGTCCTTGTGATTCTGTTGATTATTACCTGTCTGTATTCTGTTGCAGCTGATTTTGGATTGATGGCAAAGGGAGAGGGACTTAAGTGAGAGTGAAAACACAAGGTAAGTTTAAAATAGGTCAGCAATTTCCCATCCTATAGGTTGCTATATAGATGTATCTAACCCTTTCTCCTGTCTTTGTCTCCCATGAACCCCAGGGGGATTCAATGGAGCCTGAAGACCTGCAATGAGACCCTCACCCTGCACCTGAGTCTCAACTCCAAGAGTTTTGCAAGCCTCTCCCTGTTCCTTATTTTTATTAAACAGACATTACGCTTCCCAATGGTGTGATCTTCGTTTTGTGAAAAATATGATTAGGCCTACCTCACATATTTTGTTGTTGTCTTTTGCGATAGTTAAATTGCTCCTGCTGACTTGAGCCAGCCATTCTTTCCTCCTCTCTGTGTCAGTGGGGAAACCTTACATTCGTACTTCTTTCTCTGAGCGAT